CTTTACAGTTTATTGCAGAGTTTTTAAATCTTTCATCTATTCTTTTTATCTCTTTTTGATCAGCACATCATTTCCCTTGTAGAAATGGTGTAGAATTTAACCCCTGTTTAGTTTGTTTACTCACATCATAACATGAACTCATAATGATATACAATTTGGGAAATTTGAATTAGCTTAACAGTGTTGGTTTTTGTTTATTTGTAACCCAGTAATTAGTGTTGGAGGCACGAATCTACGAGACTTGGGGTTATAAAGTTTGAATGTGCGCTGGCATTGTTCCCTGTGTTTCTGTGCAGAGTACATGTTAAATATACAAAACAACAAAGTAGCGCAACGAGATCCTAAACAAGAAGCAATCCATCGCTTCTTTGCGCATGGAAAAGTGAGCGCGTTAGGGAGAGATACCACAAGGTTTTCGCTCCTTGAGGTGGAAGTCTCTATAAACGCATGGCAAAGTGAGCGCGTTAGGGAGAGATACCACAAGGTTTTCGCTCCTTGAGGTGGAAGTCTCTATAAACGCATGGCAAAGTGAGCGCGTTAGGGAGAGATACCACAAGGTTTTCGCTCCTTGAGGTGGAAGTCTCTATCAACGTCCCCATATTATGGTGTATGTAAAATCATATTAAAATAGGAGGATTAAGGACTGTTAGGATTAAACGTCCCCCTTTTCATCTTACGGTGCTTATATGATATAAGCAGAGTCTAAAAATGACGCCACCCCCCATGAAGCAGCTTATACTCCCAATAGTTTGATATTTACTCAGTAGTAGCTTAAATGCTATGTACCGCTTTCCCAAAGTGAAATCCATCTGAATCATACTTCTAGTGTCGATGTGCCACTTCATTTCAATTGAGTAAATCAGATTGTATGGGGGCACACACTCTGACGACGACCAGAAAGACCCCATAGGCCCCCTTCGTAGTATAATTTCATTAAAACTTGGCTAGAACTGGATGAAACAAGAAAAATTGGGCCAAAAAATGTTCTTTGAAAATTGTACTTGGTTGTTACTACGTTGCCGGCACGTGTATGAAGTTCGCATTACGTTCTTGACACAATTAAACTGAGCTAGCGTGAGCGTCAACTCTGCTAAGATGCAATCAAATCGTTCCACGATATAAAAGCCTTGACATAAATTCGATTGTACTACGACCTGAAAGATCACGGTACGATGGTAATACGTTGATTGCTGTGAGTACAGCAGGTGCAGTACGCTTGTAGCAAGCGCGGCCGTCACGTACCCAAGCATTTCCAATATATATTGGCTGAAACGCTGCACTCCATCAGTTCTGTTGGAACGGCAAAAAATTCTTCCCGATCGAGCTGCGCTTGCAACCCGTCTAGAAAGATCCTGCTGCGATGCTGATAAGCCAAGACTACGTATGCCGTCTTTACTCGGTTGTTCATACGCTGTCACTGCGATGTGAAGTCATACGACACTGCTACGTAAATTTTGAGCATGCCCAAATAATTTGGCACAATCTTCCTGCCCATGAAGACCCTACCGCGTTGCTATCAATTTTCAATAAGATGTTCTCACCACGATTGGTCACGCTATCCCGAGTTTTTGAAAACGTGGTAAGATCGTGTTTGAGTATGAAGACATTATTGAACTCTAGGCCAGGCGTTCATGCCACAGAACACTCACAAAGAAAATGCAAACCAAATAAAAAAAAGAAAGAAAGCAGATGTTAAGCTTCCAGATAACCTCACTGACGTGATTGCGAGTTCAATGTTTTCAAAGAAACAATTTGCCCGATACAGAGGACTTGTGCCTGAAGGACCCAGACGCTGAGTCGCCTTGCTCGGATTTCCCAACTGACAAGTTTTTGGCATCACCTCCCGGCCGATATGCTAAACTTCTGATGTTGCTGGAAAGAGCAAGGTCACAAAATTAACGGACGATCACTGCAGAAAGATCAACGCAGACGTCACGCGTGCATCTGCCTGAAACACGTCACGGGTAAATGATAAAACAGCTGTAGTTTGATAACATCATTTTCCTCCAGAGCTGCTTTAGATTTTTTTACCACCTCTCTTTTTGCACATCTCATATGCCGTTCCTGCTGAGCGTAAAATCAAACCCTGGACTGTACGTATCTACTCAATTGCAACTGAAAAGTAAGTCACTCGTTCAGACAAAAAGACATGAACAACAAAAAATAAAACAAACCACAAAAGCGTAAAACACAAAACACACGAAGAAGCAAACAAAACACACACACCGTGTTTAATGTGTGATATGGATCAACGCAAAAGAACCGGGCGGTTTTTCTAGGTTTGCACCACTTCTTTTGAGTCATCCATGATACATGAAAATAATAAACAATGCATATAGCATTCGGTATACCTGCCATACAAGCCAAGACAATTTAGTTAGTTACGGCCATCGTTTTATTATGCAAGTTGTATGTTCATCTTTTATGTAAACAAAAAGTCTTTCCTGAGTCGTGTGAATTAAAATTGATTTATGGGACAAGTGAAGCGTAGCGCACATTTTTTTTTCATATTAATGAGTCTTTTAACCACGTCAAACAGTCCATCCAAAGAGCGACTATTGCCGTTTTGGCTTCGATTAGCAGCGGCAATCAACCGTATTTTTCTGATCGATGAAATGATAAACTCTCACAGAGCGAGTTACAGTATATCTTATGCATGAGTTTATTGTAAGAAGCACAAGATGACGGTAGAAATGTGAAAACTTCGCTTTGACCTGCAGCAGTCACTTCACATTCCTGTTAGTTTCTTTGACGTGGAAGGAAAATGTATGACGATCTAAGAGGTACATTAGCACGGGATAAAAGTACATGTATTTAATGAATTTGTACTTTCTCCGTTTCAGTGACTCACAAAGCTTGACATGATTGCAAATTCTTTGTAAAGCAATGGAAAAATAAAGACTAGCACAAGCGATCATGCACCCAGGTATACTGACTAGTCTGTGTTTACATAAAATGGGAACGGGAAGTCCTGTAATCCTCTCACCACATAGTAATACAATACAGTACGGCACGTGTCTAACTCGGCCGCGCGTGCCTATTCAAAATACTTCATTAGCTGTCTGGCTGGCCTGCATGCCATCAGCTATCGCCAGCTACCCGAAGTGACATAGTAGTAACCCCTAGAGGGTACCACATCCAGCGCAGACAGGAGATCGGTTACAATTGACGTAGGCACAGCATTGCAATGCCGGGATCCCCCACAATGCTGGCCAAGATGCCCGCGGTGCGTCGGGGGGTGTGTACACTATTCACTAACCTCGGTTTTACAGCGAAGACGGGGCAGTGATTACACCTGTGTATCCCAGCCCCATAAATTATTGGGCAAATTTGCCAAAGCATGTTTAAAGGGTGCCGCATACTATACAAATAGAGGTTCACAGCTGTAATTACGGAAATGGTTTTTAAAAAAAATTTCTCCTCCTTGAGCTAACTCGTACGTATTATCTTATAAGACGTACGAGCGACGTATATCTCGTGCGTAAGAGTTATATGTCATAATATGTCGTATGTATGATTAATACGTACGTGTACGACTTATACCTCTGACTTTATAAACCACAACTCGTATACGTAGCCTACGTCTTTCGGCGTTCATCTCACATGTACGGACATGATTGATAAGACATTGGCATATCACTCTTATTTATGTGCGAGTATAACTCGTACGTAGTCATAATTGGTACATACGAATTAGCTGAGGGGGAGACTTTTTTCATTTTCCAAATACAGCTTCGTTTGAAGGAATTAAAGGCAATGCTGTTTTAATTTCTATACTAACGCATATTTTATGTGAAGGAAAAGACTAATTAAAGCAAATAACTAACAGGAATCGATGCAAGCATTGTCACTGCTAATTTCAGGTAAAATTTGGTCTTGTATGAAACATGGCCACTTTTGGTACCTGCTGTGGAATCTGTTCCCCACACCTGAATTGGTTTTGCTTTAACCTTGAATACAATAGCTAATAAGCCAGCATCAGTCCAAACTTTACGTCAATGTTTCTTTTTTACGTGTTAAAGGACATTTTTAGGAAAAATAACTCAACAATACGGCCTTAACAATACGGTTCATACTGCAGGCGAATACCGTTCGAAAGCGAAGCAAATTTGACGTCACGACAATTTTGCGGCGGACTTTCGCTTGAGTTGAAATGTGTTCAACTTTTACGAATTCGCAACGTGAATATTTGATCTGCCCTCAAAAATTCACGTTCGCTTTCGCACGAAGTATGAACCGGCCTTTGCTTGTCGTCTTTTCCAAGTAAGAAAATCAATACAATATCCGTGAGAAAATACGCATGTTAAGAAGCACACACTAAGAAGTCCTGTCAAACCGGCCAGCTGAACTGTCATCATTTCTGTGAAACAACTTGGCAATGATGCAAGAGAACTTTTTCCTTTTTACCTATTGTTTTGTTCAGATTTTCCGACAAAACAATTGTAGGGGACAAGGCAGAATGCTAGCATTGAACACAGGATTTCAAACAGCACTACCGATTACTACTGGGCACCCACGCGTTACTGGGATTGGCTGTATTCGGTGTATTCCTGACACATTAAGTTACCATCTTGGTCTATTCATTTTCGTAAATAATATTTCATCATTATAAAGGTAAACAGTAAAGCCGCTAGACGATTTACCCGTGGCAACCAAAGAAGCTAAAAGAAATTCACTTAGTTATTAATTCGTTATATTTACCATGCTTCCTTCCAACCAAATTCCCACTGGCGAGATTTTCGTTGGAACATTTTAACATGTATAAAAGACCAATTATGGAAACCTTAAGAACGAAAATTATCCTTCCTTTATTGCTATACAATAATTATTCTGTGCAGGTAGCATCCATGGAGGGAGTCGAATCTGTACTCATTCAGAAGCTGTGGATACCTTTAGCACAGCAAGAGTTTGCTACCCATGAAATCAAATTAAAAAAGCCAAAAAGCTAAAATTGATGTTGCAAAAATGGGTACGGTATAATTAAGAAAGGTCTAACGTACCATGCACGAGGTCATCAGATTCGGCCGAAGATGAAGCTGGTGATGCTGAAGAGGACGAGTCCGAGGAAGAAAATCGAGGATGTTTCTTAAGGGTCATGTGGGCTGTGGCTCGAGACCTCTTCTGTGTCTTACTTCCCGTCTGACCCATCATTAGTGCAGTGGCTACGGAGATGATCGGCTCTTCCTGTATGCTGCAATCTGGTGAAGGTGCACAGCCCCCTCCCCGTAGCTCAGTGTCACTCTCAGAGCTCCTTTGGTGGACGGTCGGGAGGCTTTGTTGTGGTTTGGCAACCCAGTGAGAGCGATGCATTGCTCCCACCTGCTTAGTCAGCTTTGGTCGGACACTACCAGAGTCCGCAGTGTCCTTTTTGGCTTCTTCCGGTACCTGCGGAGATAGCTTCGAGCTCCTCTTGTCGCTGCTTTCACGGCCACCTTTCGTTTTGACACGCTCATGGGATCTGCTCCGGAGACCGGCTCGTAATCTGCGCAGCAGAGAAGAGTCGCTCAATTCACCTTCAGAGGATTCTGAGTTGTCTGCATGCCGCTGCCTCTTATATGACTTGACAGTGACATCGCTCTGCCATCTACCTCGTCTCTTTAAAACTCTCTCCTGGTGCCAGTAGACCAGTTGCTTCTTACAGAAATAAATCGTCACGGTGGAGACGACCACAGCAGCAAGAGACACTGCAATCTGCGTTATCAGTGCCGAAGCAAGGAACAGCTCCAAGCCGTACAGTACAGGGTAAAGAAATATGGATACAACCATCTTGGTGGAGGGCGCGGAATTGTCCAAAGTGTAGTCAAGATGAAGTTGCGAACAGCATATCGCACTGGTGCGTGAAAGACGCCGCGATATAGTCTCTAAAGCGTGAACGCACAGTGCCTCGATATGCTACTCTCCTTCTGCCCCGGTTTACCTCCAAAGCCGCCCGACGTCCCTGTTAATTGATGGGGGATGTGCACAAAAAATCAAAAGGTTCAGAGTGATCCGATCCTCAGTACGTAAGCAAGTGAACTGAATGCAACCAATGCAATGCGTGGTATGGTATACTCCCCCTGCTTGAGCTATATTTAGCCACCAATGACACGGAGGCGAGCAATGTTGACACGACGAGCAGGCGAGGTCTCGGGTGCAGATGGCATTTGCGGTGCATAGTCAGATTCACGATGGAGTTTTTGTTTTGTGACATATTGCTTAGTCAGGGGCCATCTCGTCTTGTTTCCTTTTTCATGATGTGAGTAATGAAAACAGACGAAAGACATTCGCTTCAAACCAGCTTCAAGAGAGGCAAACCAATAACCCCACCTCTGTTTGATAGCTTGATTGACTTAAAGGAGTAATTCTTCAAGCTGTTTCGTCTTAAAATACCCTTTTCCTAGGTTAGGAACTTGTAAAATTCTATTGCAGAAAACTGAGTACATTCCCTTTTTAGACGTGATTGCAACATTTCGTAGAAGCTAAAGTCTTTGTTTTTCGCAAAGCAGCAGACGATTTGGTTAGCAGATACCATACAGTTCCCAATCTCACGGGAACGCATACGAAGCGTTTTGTTGGAAATCTATCAGCGAATCTTTCTACCCTTTTGACGGATGATCACAGTTGTGTATCTGGTATGCTTCAAGGACCAGAAGGATTGCAGATTACACAATTCACGAGTTGTGGCACCTAGCTTCCCAGAATTATTTGTACATGTTCACATTTATGGAATAAAATAATTGGAATTTTTTTTTTAAATTTTGTTCCAAGTTTCGTTAACGACAAAACGTTCAACTTGAATTGTCGTTAATTGCGTTAAATTTAATGTTTTTGTTGTTCCCTTTATAGCATGGTAGCCTAAATGACAGCCAGTTGGTAAACTAACACTGCCACAATTAGAGCGGGTTCCGAATTGAAGAAACAATCTGCAAACTTTGAAGTGCCCGGAGGCTTAGAGTGACACACAACAACAGGACCCTCGTCTTAATAATATAGCATTGTATTATACGTGTACTGAAAAAGTTGGAAAAGGGATGAAAGTAAAAGAGAAAGACAATAATATTTTCTTATTTATTTACAATCTGGAGTAGACGATTAGGATTGTTTGGGCATACAAAAAGTTTGTCTAGCCATGGATTTAGAGTGAATGGTTGGTAAGCCAAAATATCCAAAATATAAATTGAAATTGACAAAGAAAGATGCATCTATTTTTAATGCATGAAATTTCTAAGCCAAGTTATTGGTTCCTTCCGGTTCCTTCAGGAAGCTTCCGGAACCCTTGCGCAGTCCGCTATGGGGATTTTACATGGGGTTGTGCTATAACACATTCAATAATTTCCTAACGGAAACCAACCCAAGAGACATTCATATTGGAATTTTACCATTGTATTTAATTTCATTTCATTTATTATTTCTCAAGGCATAAACAAATACAAAACGTACGAGAGAACAATACACAACTGCAATGGCAACAGCCTTGATGGATTGCCAAATACGAACTTAATCACAATCGACTAGCTCTCCAAATGTTACCATGCTACAAAAACGGTTAAAATACAGGATCTATTAAAATGTGTACAACCAGAAAAATAGAGTAAAAACAACAATGGCCACACACCACGTCACATCTTTACAGAGAATCGAAAAAACCCTACATCTGAAACAACAGGCCCAAGCCCCACATACAATCACCTAGATCCATCCCAGGAAAAAGAAAATAATAATGAATAATAACAATAATCGCAGAAAGACGTGAAATGGTCTATGCTCATTCTGAACACAGAAAAATCTTGATAAATATATAAGAACATTGATATTGAGAATAAGATACAATTAAATGTAATTCTGAAGTACTTGTTGGAAAAGTTACCCGGAGATGGGTAAAAAACCGAATTATATTAAAGACCTTTCACTGTCAGCATTATCGTTCCTAGATCTACCTGTTCATGAACGTTTGTTTTCACTTCATTTACTTACGTGAAAACAAGATTCCACAATGGACAATGCAGCAAAGATTTACCTTCCGGTAGTCCATTGGTTCTAGATTCAGTCGAGTTGATCTGACGCTGCAGTTCCTGTCAGTTTGCAAATTATTCCTTGAAGTTTATTTCCATATAATTTTAAAATGCTTAAAATATTTTAATCTGTTTTGACTTGAAGGTTTTAGCATAAGACTATACCAGAGAATACAATTTCATGATGAAAATTGTTCATCTTCCTACGGGAAAGCCGGATTACACTTGCCTTCGTGCATGTTAGACTTTTGGGAAGGGCTAGGTCATTTTGGTGGGATGTTTCTCTTTTAAGTCAGGTGAACTTTTAGTTTCTATGCATGAATTAATATGCCGGAAAATATCTTAACCAGGTCTTTTCTGAGGAGTTTTTAAGAAGTAAACGAGCAAAAAAAAATTCCACTTTCTAAAACTTTTCACGCTATTTTTCCCGTCCAAGGGTCCCGGAACGCGCCAACCTGGTTCAACTTTTAGGATCTATAACCAGTAATGTCCAACCAACCGGTTTGTTTGCAACTTGCCCTTGTAAAGCAATTTTTGCTTTGTAACCCTTTTCAACAAAATTACAATTTTACCAAAAGGCTTTTAACCACAGAAGTGTTAAAGTGCTGCAACTCCGCTCTG